TGGTACAGACTTGTTGCTGGCTTGAATTCTTCTACAGGAGGTGTCCAGAGGCCCTTGTTCAGAGGTTTTACCACATTCTGGGGGCTGGGTGCGGTGGCTCATGCCTGTAACCCCAGCCACTCAGGAAGCTAAAGCAGGAGGATAGCTTGAGCCCAGGAGGCAGAGATTGCATTGAGCTGAGAGCACGCCACTGCTCTCCAGCCTGGGCAACAGAGACTCCATCTTAAAAAAAAAAAAAAAGCCATCTGCCTGCTTTTTGGTAGAGCAAATGTGCTGCACTGGGGGAACCTTTCTTTTCCCAGACTACCTAGACTCTTCAGAGCCAGCAGGCAGGAAAGACTGAGTTGACTGAACTGCAGAGACAGCAGCTGCCCATTTCCCCAGGGGCTCTGTCCTGGGGAGAGATCAGAATTCTGCTTGTATAACCCTGCCTGGAGTTGCTAAAATTCCCGCAGGGAGGCTCTGCCCTGTGAGAAGGGATGGATCAGGGTCCCACTTAAAGAATTAGTTTGGCCGTGATCTGGCATAGCAGCTGTGCTGCATTGTAGAGGACTCCCCCGTCTTCCAGACTGCCTGAACTCCCTAGACCCAGCAGGCTAGAACAGTTGAGTCAACCAAACTGCAGAGATGGTGGCCATACCTCCCCCGGGAACTTGCTCTGTCTCTGCCAGTCTGCAGTCTGTTGGTGTTGGCTGTCTGGAATTCCAAGTCAGTGGATGTTAACTTGGGAGGTGCCATAGAAGTGGGGTCTGCAGAACAAAGCTGCTTGGCTCCATGGATTCAGCCACCTTCCTAGGGAATGTATGGGTGGACTTCCTGCCTTGCAGGATTCTTTTATTAAATCATCTCTACAGGGATTTCTGGGGCCAGAGTATGTAAAACTCCTGGGTCTGTGTGTGTGCCTGAGTGGCTGCCCTGTTAAGACTCTGCATGCACAGCTCTGTATATCGGACCTAAGGCCCTGGTGGCATGGGCTCATGAGGGAATCCCCTGATCCATGGGTTGCAAAGATCCATGGGAAAAGCGTGGTTTCCTGGGGTCACACAATCACTCACTAATTCCCTTGGCTAGAGATGGGTTTATTTTTGGCTCTGTGCTGCCCCTGGGGGGCAGTTGCCCTACGTCATTTTTCTTCATTCTCTGTGGGTCAAGTTGTTCACCCGGTCAGTCGCAATGTGAGAAACTGAATATTTCATTTGAAGGTGCTTAATTCACTCACCATTTTCATTTTTCTCCCTGAGAGCCATGAACCACAGCTTCCTCTTTTTTTTTTTTTGGGACAGAGTCTCTCTCTGTCACCCAGGCTGGAGTGCAGTGGCATGATTTCAGCTCACTGCAACCTCTGTCTCCTAGGTTCAAGCAATTCTCCCTGCTTCAACTTCCCAAGTAGCTGGGATTACAGGTGCCTGCCATTGTACCTGGTTAATTTTTGTTTTTTAAGTAGAGACAGGGTTTTGCCATGTTGGCCAGGCTGGTCTCAAACTCTTGACCTCAAGTGTTTTGCCCGTCTCGGCCTCCTAAAGTACTGGAATTACTGGTGTGAGCCACTGTGCCTGGCCTGAACTGGTTCTCATCAGCCACTTAGGCCCTACCTTGGCAATAGAGTTTGTCAAATGCTTTTCTGCATCCATTGAAATGATCATGTATATTTCTCTTTATTAATACAGCATATTAAATTGATTTAATATGTTGAATCAACCTTCCATTTCTGGGAAAAATCCCACTTTGTCATGATGTATTATTTTTTTTAATATTCTGCTGAATTTGTTTTGCTAGTATTTTGTTGAGAATTTTTGCATCTTTGTTCCTTTTCTTGGTTGGAGTCTTGCTCTGTTACCCAGGCTGGACTGCAGTGGCATGTTCACAGCTCACTGCAGCCTCCAACTTCTGAGCTCAAGATATCCTCCCACCTCAGCCTTCTGAGTAACTGGGACTACAGGCATGTGCCACCATACCTGGCTATTTTTCTTTAAGTTTAAATTTTTAAATGTTAACATAGAGATGGGATCTAACTGTGTTTTCTGGGCTGGTCTCAAACTCTTGGGCTCCAGCAATCCCCCGCCTCAGCCTCTTATAGTGTTGGGATCACAGGCATGAGCCACCACACTCAGCCGCATCTGTATTCTTAAGAGATGTTAGTCTGTAGTTTTTTTGTTTTTGTTTTTTCTTTGTGATGTCTTTGTCTAGCTTTGGTATCAAGGTAATATTGGCATAATAGAATGATTTAGGAAGTGTTCATTCTACTTCTCTTTAAGTGGACAATGGTTTAAGTGACCAAATATGTGGTAATTTGTTATACAACAATAGAAAACTAATATAACTGCTAAAGAAAATCAACCAGAAATGTTGTGCCTTCTAATGGAAAAACAGATCATCACTATGGAGCAGCCTTGCAAAAAACAGAAATCTGAATCTGATCAAGCCTATAGTCTAGACCAGGATTCCCCAACCCCTGGGCCATGGATTGGTACCAGTCCATGGACTGTTAGGAGCCAGGCCACACAACAGGAAGGGAGTGGTTGGTGAATGAGCATTCCTGCCTGAGCTCCACCTCCTGTCAGATCAGTGGCAGCATTAGATTATCATAGGAGGGTAAACCCTATTGTGAACTGCACATGCGAGGGATCTAGGTTGTGTGCTCCTTATGAGAATCTAATATTTGGTGATCTGAGGTGGAACAGTTTCATCCCAAAACCATCCCCACCTCCCACCCCCAACCACTGGCCCCTGGTGTCAAGAAGGTTGGGGACCGCTGGTCTAGACCCAATATCAATTTATAGGAAATAAGGAGCATGTTAAACTCTATGAAGGGAATACAATCAGCAAAATCCAGATATATCATTCTAGGCTAGAAAACATAAATCACACTCACAATTTAATGTAATATAAATTTATAATATAATTTTATATAAGGAATTAAGCAGGTGTTGAAGAACCAAAAAAAAGCAAAGTGAGGTAGCATGGAAAATAACTGCAGGAAGCAACTTCCACATGTGGGACTTGCTAAACAAAGAAATAAAGTTGGTATTATGAGAACCTAGAGGCTTGGAATATAGATTCCGTAGAGCTTGGAGTCAGACTTGGAGATTGAGGTGCTGCCTGGCTGGTACTAATATGTCTGAGAAGACATGTTTAAGCTGGTTTGGGGAGTGGGATGAACTACCAGTGCCAGAGAGAAGTCCTGTTGGCATGATAGAGATAGGAAGAGCAGGCAGACAGGAGGAGCAGAAATTCTCTATCACCTCCTGTGGCCTTCAAGTATCCCTCTAGAACTGTGAGAAGAGCCTAGCAAAAGAAAAATGTAATTTGCAAAATCCCAGTCCCAGTGTCACTAAAAGGGGTTGGAGCTAAAAGATGGTAGCATAATAATTGGAACAATAGGCCGGGCGCGGTGGCTCAAGCCTGTAATCCCAGCACTTTGGGAGGCCAAGGCGGGTGGATCACGAGGTCAAGAGATCGAGACCATCCTGGTCAGCATGGTGAAATCCCGTCTCTACTAAAAATATAAAAAATTAGCTGGGCATGGTGGCGCGTGCCTGTAATTCCAGCTACTCGGGAGGCTGAGGCAGGAGAATTGCCTGAACCCAGGAGGCGGAAGTTGCGTTGAGCCAAGATCGCGCCATTGCACTCTAGTCTGTGTAACAAGAGCAAAACTCCGTCTCAAAAATAATAGTAATAATAATAATTGGAACAATAATCAACCTGGTTCTTTCCATTAATAAATATACTGTAAGAAAAACAAAAGAGTAATGGAGGGAAATCCATCAATTAAAAGACCTCTCAACCAGTTGTAATCTATGGACCATATTTTGATCCCAGTTTAAACAAACTATACAGATAGTATGAGATATTTGGATTGGGTATGAAATTATATGAAGGATTATTGTTAATTTCTGTAGTGGTGAGAATGGCATCGTATTTTGGGGTTTTTTTTTTTTAAGTTCTTAGTTTTTAGAAATACATCTGAAATATTTCCAAATAGAATAATGTCTGAAATTTTTTTCAAAGTTGTACTGGATGGAGAGAGGTGAAGGTGGTGTTGAAAACACAAAATTGTTCCTTGAAGAATCGATCTGCACATGTACCCCAGAACTTAATATAAATAAATAAATAGAAAACACAAGATTGAACATGACTGGATGGTTATTAGGGCTGGGTGATAGGCATATGAGGTTAATTTTATTCCTCTTTCCATGTTGTTTATGTTCAGAATTCTCCATAATAAAATGTTTTTTTTTAAACTGGAAAAATTCCTTTCATAAACTTTTTTAACCTCTTAGATTGATAATCAAGCTTTTGCTTTCCTTGATCTTATACTGTTGAGAAAACAATAATTGGAAACATTGTTCCATTTAAACAGCATCTTTAAGAATTAAAAGGCACATACTTTTGATGCCATAATTACTTGTAAATCTCTCTAAAGGCATTTATACATGGATTTTTATTGCAGCTACCGCAGAGGTTTGGAAACACGCATTCATCAATACTGAGGGCACTAGTTTAATGAATCACGGTGTAGTCACACTATAGAATACTACTCAGTTATTAGAAAATAAAGCAGTTCTAAATGTAGCGATATGGAATGATCTTCAACTAAGAAAGCAAGGTACACACCAGTGTATGTCTATCATTTGTGTCCTTCCCGCCAAAAAAAAAAAAATTATACTTGAATATATCTAGGTTATCTTTGGAAAGGTAGACCAGAAACTAGTAATTGTGGTGGCCTATGAAACAGGAAACCAGATCACTAAAGGTTTGAGAGTGAGAGAGAGACTTTCTTTTTCTCTGAAAGAATAATACATATGGAAGCAGTGATGAATGGCTATTTCTGGCTGTAACTATGGGAAAGACTTTTTGGAAAATAAAGGTAATGAAAGCTTAGTATTGCTCTTGTCTAACAAAAATAGAAAGCATTAACAGGTAAATGTAATAGATATTACTTTGAGATACAAAAAATAACTTCACTTACAAGTGGAAAATATCTGAATTTGTTTTTTTAGGTGGTGATAGTGGACTGGATGGGTTAGGAGGACCGGGTGTACAGCTAGGAAGTCCAGATAAGAAAAAACGCAAGGCAAATACACAGGTAAATTGACATTTTCTTTAACAGTCGTTTTTCTTTTCTTGTATGATTAGGCTGTTGAGGTAAATTTAAACTTGGTCATAAGTTTTGTTTCCTATCCTCATTCAGAACCAATAGTGAATTCTGCAGTGATTATACTTTTTGTTTTAAAGTCTGTAACTAGTCGCTATTGTCACACGTTAGGCATACAGTAGATACAACAAAAAGGAAGTGTGAGTGGACAAATTAAAATGCTTGTCAAGGTGGCTCGTGCCTGTAATCCCAGCACTTTGGGAGGCTGAGGTGGGCGGATCACCTGAGGTCAGGAGTTCGAGATCAGCTTGACCAACATGGAGAAAGCATGTCTCTACTAAAAATACAAAAAAAAAAAAAAAAAAAATTAGCCAGGCATGGTGGTGGACACCTGTAATCCCAGTTACTCGGGAGGCTGAGGCAGGAGAATCACTTGAATCTGGGAGGCAGAGGTTGCAGTGAGCTGAGATCGTGCCATTGCACTCCAGCCTGGGCAACAAGAGTAAAACTTCATCTCATTAATTAATTAATAAATAAAATGCTTGCCTGTAATCCCAGCACTTTGGGAGGCCGAGGTGGGTGGATCACTTGAGGCCTGGAGTTTGAGACCAGACTGGCCAACATGGGGAAACCCTGTCTCTACTAAAAATACAATAATTAGCTGGGTGTGGTGGCACACTCTTACAGCTATTCGGTAGGCTGCGGCATGAGAATTGCTTGAACCCAGAAAGTGGAAGTTGCAGTGAGCTGAGATCGCACCACTGCACTCCAGCCTGGGTGACAGCACAAGACTGTCTCAAACAAATTAAAATGCTTGTTCTTCAATCTAATTTACAAGTTTTTAAAGGGCATGAATGCCTGTAGTTCTAGTAAAGACTTAAAAATATATAGTAACAATTTTAACATGAAGTAACTGTTCAACTGTAATAGTAATTCAGTATTATGTGCGTATCATGAAGCAGTCATGATGGAGGCCTCTTTTTGTTATAACTTGTGATTATAATGAGCAATTATACATATAGGCTCTCATGGTTTTATTCTTTATAAATTTAAAGTACTCTTTTTATGGTAAAGGCTACTGGTAAGTATGTGTGTACAGATTACTGATCTTTTTATCACTTTGACCACCATCTGTTAAACTCGGAGTGTAACTAAAACTGGCAGTTCATTTTTTCAGTCTGAGGCCCAGAGCTTAATGTTTTAGGAATACTTTAATTGTATCTCCCTGAAGTAAGCTAGGGGAAATCTTTAGATTCTGATTCTTGTTATTTAATTTTATGACTATTTGGTATATAAAAGATATTTTAGGTTAGACTGCTTTAGTATTTAAGTGAAAGATTCTTGTTACAGGTAAGCATATTAAATGAAAATTAGGATAATGAAGCTTCTTTTGAAAGTTAAATAATCTGGGGGTTTGAAGTTACAATGGATTTGAGCTCAGAAAAATCATACCTTATTTTCTTTCGTAAACGAAGTAAACCTAAATATATTTATCAGCAAGTATAATTAAATGTAAACATTAGTCAGAATTGAAAGGTCAAGTGAAGATAATAAATGTTTGTAACATTGCAGGAGAAATTTGACTAAAACTAGATTCACTGGTATTAAGGTAACAGGACAATTTTAATAATGTATTTGATCAAAAACATGTATTTTACTTTACATTCTCATTTCAGGGACCTTCTTTTCCTCCATTGTCTGAGTATGCTCCACCACCGAATCCAAACTCTGACCATCTAGTGGCTGCTAATCCGTTTGATGACAACTATAATACTATTTCCTATAAACCACTCCCGTCGTCAAATCCATATCTTGGCCCTGGTTATCCTGGCTTTGGAGGTTATAGCACATTCAGAATGCCACCTCACGTTCCGCCAAGAATGTCTTCCCCTTATTGTGGTCCTTACTCACTCAGGAACCAGCCACACCCATTTCCTCAGAATCCTCTGGGCATGGGTTTTAATCGACCTCATGCTTTTAACTTTGGGCCACATGATAATTCAAGTTTCGGTAATCCATCTTATAATAATGCACTAAGTCAGAATGTCAGCATGCCTAATCAACATTTTAGACAAAATCCTGCTGAAAATTTCAATCAGATTCCTCCACAGAATGTTAACCAAGTTTCTAACCCCGATTTGGCATCTAATTTTGTTCCCGGAAACAATTCAAATTTTACTTCTCCGTTAGAATCTAATCATTCTTTTATTCCTCCTCCAAACACTTTTGGGGGTCAAGCAAAAGCACCAGCCCCAAAACAAGACTTTACTCAAGGAGCAACCAAAAACGCTAATCAAAATTCATCTGCTCATCCACCTCACTTGAATATGGATGACACAGTGAATCAGAGTAATATTGAATTAAAAAACGTTAATCGAAACAATGCAGTAAATCAAGAGAACAACCGTTCAAGTAGCACTGAAGCAACAAACAATAACCATGCAAATGGGACACAGAATAAGCCACGACAACCAAGAGGTGCAGCCGATACCTGCACCACTGAGAAAAGCAATAAATCTTCTCTTCACCCAAGCCGTCATGGCCATTCATCTTCTGACCCAGTGTATCCTTGTGGAATTTGTACAAATGAGGTGAACGATGATCAGGATGCTATCTTATGTGAGGCCTCTTGTCAGAAATGGTTTCATCGGATCTGTACTGGAATGACTGAAACAGCCTATGGCCTCTTAACTGCAGAAGCATCTGCAGTATGGGGCTGTGATACCTGTATGGCTGACAAAGATGTCCAGTTAATGCGTACTAGAGAAACTTTTGGTCCATCTGCAGTGGGCAGTGATGCTTAATCACAGGCATTCTAAAGTGGGTTTATTTTCCTGTGCATTACAGAAGTTCAGTGACACAAGATTTTAATGTTTTACATTATTTTTTTAAATGCACACACAAAAATATTATTTACCTGTAAGTTTTTACTAATAATTCATTTCATTACTAGAGCAAATTTTGTATTGTCTTTGCCTGCTATCTTAAACGAGAATCATGTATATGGGGGTGCTTTAGAAACATTTATAAATATATGTTAGTTGTTATTTATCACAAACAAAAGCCTCTTGAAGCTTCAAAGTAGTATATAACAAATGTAGGCATGTTTTAACTTTTAAAAGTTAAAATCATTGAAAAAATGGATATTTAGTGCTGAACTTTGGTTGTACCATATTAAAGATTTAGTTCAAAAAGTTTATCTAGGATCCCCTTAACGTCTTTACAACATAATACATGTAACTGTAACATGGGGGAAAGTATACATTTTTATGGATTAAAAAAATTATAGTATGACACCAGATTTTTCCTTCACTAGGGTCTTTGGAATTAATGAATTTCATATTTTCAAGTGAGTTTTCAGGATATCTGTTTGTACAGATATGAGACAGATCTTAGCATATAGTAAATTCTCAGTATTTGTTGATTAACTTGTGGATGCTACCACATGAAATTGCTAATATTAGATCAGTTGAAAATTGACTGCAATTAGTAAAATTGGCATAACTTATGTTTCCAGTTGTGCCATATAGAATTATAGTATGCTTCTAATTTTCTTTGATATTGAGTTTTGTTATTGTTTATTGTTTACCAGAGAAATAAATACTATAGTATCCACAGAAGAATTGTGAATACTTTTTGTATAATTTTGAACTGGGACATAATGCAAATGAGGAAGGAAGAAATATCAATTTGGCCTTAGAGGGCTCTGCTAGCAAAAGAACTACTCAGTGTTCGTTTGAGAAATCTTGTTCTGGGGATCTGAATTTCAAAACTGAACTTTAGGGGAGATCAAAGTCCATTTGAAGCAAAGATCAATTAAGAGCCAAAGTGAAATCGAACTCAAAAACAACAAATTGAAGGCTTGTAGCAGACTTAAGGAGTTTCCGCTGTTACTGGGGAAAAGTGTAAAAATGGACCTGAGTACCCTCTTGAGAAATGATCAAGCATGGAGACGGTTGGAAGTGTGCTCATTAAGATTCAAAACAGCGGAAATCCATTTTTGGAGCAAATCATAACCTGTGGCCAAAAAAGGTGTACTGTTTGACAACTAATGGCCGTTTACACAATCACTGGAGGCTGGTATCCCTAATGTGTTGCCACCATTATCATTGCAACCAAAAAAGTTCTGAAGGGTGTTTGATGATCTGCAAAGGAGATAATTATTATTATTTAAACCCAAGTGAAACAATGATGGCAGCAGTGTATTATCAAGAAATTTAAATTATGCATGAAAAATGTGATTTAAAAATAATGTCCTTTGGTTAGCACAAGAAGCTACAGTTTTACAGATAAGGTCTCAACTTCACATGTCACAAGCCACTAAAGCAAAGTTAAGTGACTTGGGCTATGAAATTTTGTCATGTCCTTTTTAGTCACTGGACCTTTAATCCAATAGACTACTATCTTTATCGTTTGGAGCTTTTTCTAAGAAACAACGCATTCCCCAATTGAGATGCAGTAACTAGAAGATGTGAACAATTTTTATGGTCTAACAAATGATGAATTTTATAAAAGTTAAACCTTTAATATTCTGTTGGAAGAAAACTCTGCATCTGATGCATATTTTGATTGAATAAAACTTATTTTTTTAACTACAGTGTTTTAATTTTGACCTACAAAAACAGCAATTTCATATGGTACAAGGTAATAATGTAAGGTTTTCTCCATTTACCCTTGACTAGTTAGAGGTGAATACAAAATATTTTCCGTAGTTGTAAAATATTTATCTTTACAATTTTAGGAAGCAAAATGATATAAACTATACTTCTAGGTACTCCATGTGTGAAAACTTTACCAGTTGAAGCAGGTTAAAATGCAGTATTTTGGGCTGACAGACATTTGATGGTGTTCAGTAGCATAGTTGAAGATCCCATTTTACTTGGAATTTTTGTTAGACATACATCTCTAAATGTTTAAGGACCTAGTTATGTTTTTCCTGAAAGTTACTGAGTGCTAATTCTTAATAAATGATGCACTGCATGCTGTATGCCTAGTCATAGCATCAGATCATGATTTATTATTGCTCTGAATAGGGCTAGATAGATGTTTTGAGTAGAGCTTTCCAATGTTCTCAGGAGTTAACACTTTACATGGTAGTACTTGAGTTGTGATCATTACTAAAACTGATTATGCAGTTTCTTAAACCCTTTATCTCTTTAAGTTTTAGTAGTTAGCTGTTTTTGTGAAAATTAAATAACCTCTCCCAAGCTAGTCTAAAGGTATTTGTTATATAATGTGATTCATTTTCTGTTTCCACATAGTTGTTTTTAAAAACCTGCAAACAGGTCAGTTTTTATTCAGGTGTTTAGGTCTTCAAAGCACCTTACTTTAAATAAGAATCTGGAAGTATTCAACAGAAAAACTCATGGTTCATTCTGACAGTGAATCATACTACACTCATAGTTGATAAAAAGTGTTCATGTGTTTGAGTTCATTTTCTTACAAGTTCTACATTTGTGTCTACATAACGCTAAGTCAAAAGTTATATAGATGCTTTTAGATGGAAAAAGTGATGAACTATAAGAATAGCCAGATGATAATTTGTCTGAAGGAAGGCTGTTAGACAAACTGAAATGACTCCTTAGGACAAATGATAAACTGCCTTCAACTTTAAAAATATGCAGTGATGGAAAAAAACACAGGTGGAATTGTACCTTTTTTGGTGTAATCCTTTTCCTTCACTGAAAGTCCTCAACACACACACACACACACACACACACACACACACACACACACACCAGTTTCTCCTACATCCTTGAGTTTTGCTGAAGTTCAACCCGGGTAACTATCAGTATCACCAAAGCCAGGTTTTTGACAGAAAGGTGAATTTTGTTTTTTCCTTTTTTTGAGACAGTCTTGCACTGTTGCCCAGGCTGGGCGTCATCTAGGCTTAGTGCAGCCGCCACCTCCCAGTTCAAGTAATTCTCCTGCCTCAGCCTCCCGAGTAGCTGGGATTACAGGAGCCCACCACCACACCCAGCTAATTTTTGTATTTTTAGTAAAGACAGAGATCACCATGTTGGCCAGGCTGGTCTCAAACTCCTAACCTCAAGTGATCTGCCTGCCTCAGCCTCCCCAAGTGCTGGGATTACAGGCGTAAGCCATCACATCCAGCCAGACAGAAAATTTTAAAAAGCATCAGTTTCTTTCTTAGAACTTGATTTGCTTATGCATTAGACAGTTTCTGGTCCACAGGCTTCTAGGTGTTACCCGACTCACTAATACTGAAACAGCTTAGCTTGTGAAGATAAATTGTTCTTCAGATAGAGTGCTTAGAATTAGATTTGTGATCAGTGTTTTCCTTTTGTGTGAAATGCTTTAGAGTACTTCTAGTATCATTCTTGTTACTCAGATTAGAAGATTATATACATAAAACTGAAGATTTTCTTGTACTAGTGCTTATCCTTCATAAACACAATGTAAAGAAATCTAGTTTTTTGGTGGTTTGTTTTAGAGTCCTAAACTAGAGTCTGCCTAGTTGCAGAAAAAAAACCTTAATAGTATGGGTCATCATGAAATCTGCCAACCTTAATCCAAATAAGTATCAAGAGTCTTCAGTCAATATTCTTTCAAACTTGTTTGTCTTGAACAAATTAGAGTTTTAGCACTTAACTGTTCAATGTACTATAGTAATTGTATTTAATAGTAAGAAAATATATAAGCAATGATTTTTTAAAAGGGAGTTCTCAAGAGTTTTGCATTTCTTTCTGCAGTATATAGAGGTTTCATATGCATGAATATTTGTGCTGTTTTATATTTTTTTCAATTAAAAAATGTTTAAAAGTATCCAGGATCCCAAAGTTCATTTGTAAATAGTGGCTTGGAACTCTACACAATAGGGAAGCTCCTAAAGGCTCATTTAAACCATAATCTAGTTGATAGTACCATGCTGATCTCTCAGTTTTCTTTAGGAAACCTATCAATGTAGGAGGGAGAAAGAAACAGAGGTCTTGTCTTTTTCCTGATGTGATTAGAAAGTTATTTGTTATGGGTTTCTTTGCATTTGCCCTCTTACCATGCTAAACTCTGGTGAAATGTATAAAGCAGGCTTGTCTTTTCCCCTCCTGGATGCTCTGTGCTTCAACATTTTATATTTTTCCTCCCCTCAGAAATTCAGTGGCTAGACTTTAAGAGAAAAGCATTTTCTACTAAGGTATGAATGAAGATAGTGAGAAAAGTGTCATTAAATTTCTTTTTTTAAAAAGGATGTTTATTAAGAATGAATCGTTATTTTCTAACATTTCAGACAATATGACCACATTTCAGATACTATGGAAAGCAGTACTTTCAGTGAATTAGATTGTACTGTCTGAGAGTACTTTCCATTTCCTTTAGGTTGTTGTGACTTTTCACAGCTTCCTCTCCTCTAATTCTGAACTTGGAGATTTTCTTCTCATTTCTAACTTTTAGTGACTTATTCTATTCAGTAGAGCATTACAAAAGTCACATCTGCATCTTCCAACTTGTGGTACAGTGATGGGAATTTGGAAGCACCCCTGGAGCAAAGAGGCTAGGGATAGCATTAACATCTCCCAAGACAAGTGATGTAGGGGAAATAAAGGAAAGACCGTGGCCAGGTATATGCCAGGCATTAATACACCAGAGGTTGCCTGTATTTAATTTAAAACTTTTAATGAAACTCAATGGATATGTGTCATCTTTGTCACATTTTATCAATAATACTTTACTTGCAATTATATTAAAACTTAAATACCTGTACCTTTATTGTTCTGTAGATGTGTAGATGATGTTGCTTGTTTGTCAAAATATTATCTTTTATAAAAGAAAGTCCTGCTTCTTATCATGATGTATGTGACTTAAATGATTGTTTCATATTAAAACTATTTCTTCCTTATGTACTGTTTACATATACCTCTTTTTGGGATATTAGTTCAGTACTTTTATACAAATCTGAGTGTGTTCCACATTGGTGACATGTATTTTTACAGTAATTTTTTGTTTTGTTCTTAGAGCATGTCTAAAGTAACACATGCACTAGTGCTGTGGTCTGTGGCAAAATTACTGTAATTCAAATTGGAAAAAAAAATGTTTCCAGACTTTGTCCAACATTTATTCCTATGACAAAGGAAATTACTATGTAATACTAATTACTTCTTATGCTGGTATGTTTTAAGCTACTCTATGAAGTATGTGAAACATCAATATTTATGGATTAATAGATGGCCTGATGGGAGGGGGTAAATTATGGTGTTATCAGCTCATAACACTTGTAATACAATAAATCTTAAAATTTTTATCTTTGACTTACAAGTATAATTTACTAAATAATTTTCTTAAATGGCAGTACATATTAGGATATTTTTAGCCCATACTACTAAAATTATATAGTAAACTTTGAACTTATGCTGATTATCTCCCAACCAAAAAAGACATCATTTACTTCATCATAACCAAAATAAGTTGTACTGTGATATTTATATTCATTTATTAAGACTTGATTAAGATACCATAAGACTCCTCTAATTTACCTGGAATTTTTAACCATTGGTTCAAAGACTTGAATGCTGTTTACTTTGTACTAAATGATGAAAGGATTTGGTAATAAAGGTTATCATCAGGATTTTAAAGAAAAATGTTTAATCTTGAAGACAAATTTTTAAACTTTATTTTAGAGGTGTTTACTTAAGAATAGTAATTTTAAAACGTTATTATCTTGTCATTAACACAAATACTCAAAAGGATTTTAATAAGTAATACTTGGCCAATGCAAATTTGTATATTTGAAATTATATGCTTGAAAGAAAAAAATGATGCTTGTGAGTGCTTAAACTGCATATCTTCTTAAAAATTCAAATTTTAGACATATCAGTTTAAATTATCCTGAATTAATAAGGTTTTACTGTATCAATGATGTATATTACAAAATGTCTACCTATGTTATGTTAATGATATCTCTGTACTGCACCATATTCGGCATGGTTATGGTATATTTTGTAATTTTGATTGTTGACTATTGATAGGATTCATATAGCAATAAATCTGACTCAATATTTTTTAAAATGCAGATACCATACTGTATCATAATCCTATTATATTTGACTTGAATGCCCAAAATTTTCATAGGCCTATATGTTAAAAATTTAGTGTTACATGTTAGGGATTTATTTTTGTCTTCTGTTTTCACATACAATTTTTTAGAACTAGGTCTGTCCCAATTTAGATCATAGAAGTTTAAAGAAGTATTATTAATTCATGAATTGCATTGTGGAAAAATTTAAATAAAGTATGAAATGACTAGATTACCCCAAATTGTTTTTTTTTTTTTAATGTGGTTAATGACCAGGTTACAATTTTCAGACAAATAAAATTGGCTTGATAACTGATTGAATATAGTAGATAATGGATAGTTTGACTCTTTAAGGGCTTCCAAGTGTTAAACAAATACATTCTCAATTCTGAATTATGTCATAGTAACTACGTAAATAATGGTAAGCCAATTCTCCTTTTTGAGATATTTAACACAATTTGCCTCATCTGATCCCATTCCCTTCTTCCCTAAAAACCATGCTAGAATTTAAAATTGGAAGTGTTTCATTTGTCATCTACATTTTAGTTTTCTTATTCTATAGATAAGTAATAAGACAAGTAGATGTTCTGCTGTCAAGACAGTCCATGTTATTGTTGGCCATTCTTTTCAGGGATAATGCTTAATGTCATTTGTGCATTGTATAAGGAATGTTGTTTATCAGTATATAGACCTACCATTAGTAGAAGTGTTGTATGGCAGGCTTTCTTGAATAATATGTATTGTAAGTTTGTTTCCTATAGTGTTATTATGCGTCAGATTCTTTTAAATAAAGCTAGTTTTTAAAGAGAAAAAGAACTTTTTTAAGTGTTTGACTTTCATCAGGACAAGTAGGTGTGAGAATCTTGGCTATGGGTGAGAGATGCCCAATGTAACATCAAGCAGGGAATAGCTTACAATTTACCAGTGTAATTTTATACTGAGGAGGGAATCAGAATTTTTAGTCAGGGCTTGCTGTATACATATTTTTTCTGTGAAGTTCATTCATAAAACTGAGTCCTGGATTTCCTTAAAAAATTGTGAGTATGACATACCTACTTTGATTTTAACAATTTCGGACTTCAGTTGTGTTAATAAAAATTATTTTCAAAAGAATTTTACAACTTCAGCAGCTTAATGATCCCTGGGGCAGAGACACCATTGTAGCAAATATTAAGAACAAACTTGCGGCTGGACGCGGTGGCTCATGCCTGTAAGCACAGCACTTTGGGAGGCCAAGGTGGGTGAATCACCTGAGGTCAGGAGTTTGAGACCAGCCTAGCCAATATGGTGAAACCCTGTCTCTACTAAAAATACTAAAATTGGCCAGGCATGGTGGTACCTGCCTGTAATTCCAGCTATTTAGGAGGCTGAGGCTCGAGAATCGCTTGAACCCAGGAGGCAGAGGTTGCAATGATAGTGAGCTAAGACAGAAAAAGAAAGAAAAGGAAGGAAGGAAAAGAAAGAGAAAGGAAGGAAGGAAGGGAGAGAGGAGGGAGAGAGAGAAAGAAAACAAACTTGCTTGAATGTTAAGACCTCCAAAGTTTGAAACAACCATCAGTTGCCTTGAGTCTGTTAACATAAAAAGAGGCTGAATGAAATAATGTGTCAAGTGATGCAAGCTTGGCATCAATTGCCAAGCTGAGGCAGGAGAATTGTTTGAACCCAGGAGGCAGAGGTTGCAGTGAGTTGAGATCACTGCACTCCAGCCTGGTGATAGAGCAAGAAAACAAAACAAAGCCATGCTAAATATATCCAAGGACAAGTAATATTGTACAGAAAGAAAGCGTGAGCCATGGTGAAGCAGCAGCCTGCCTGAGTTCACAAGCAGAAACTTGGAGTCAGAAATTCTGATCTGACAAAGTAATGAGGGCTAAACATTTTTAAACATGAGATGCAGTAACGGGACTGAAGGGGAAATTATAGCTTTAGATTGTTTTTAAGCCCAAAATATAATGAGCTAAGTATTGATCTCAAGAGAATAAGAAAACAACAACAAACTCGAAAGTAGAAGGAAGGAAATAATAGGAAATAAAATAGGAAAACACTGGAGAGGAATAATAAGACCATAAATAAGTTATTTAAACAATAAAAATGAGGCCAGGAGTGGTGGCTCACACCTGTAATCCCAACACTTTGGGAGACAGAAGTGGAAGGATCACTTGAGCCCAGGAGTTCAAGACCAACCTGGGCAACATAGGGAGACCCTGTCTCTACAAAAAATTTTTTTAATTAGCTAAGCATGGTGGTGCACACCTGTGGTCTCAACTACTCAGGAGGCTGAGGTGAGAGTACTGCTTGAGGCCAGGAGGTTGAGACTGCACTGGGCCTTGATCATGTTGCTACACTCCGGTCTGGGCAACAGAACAAGACACTGTCTCAAAAAAAAAAAAATACAGCCAGTGATCAGACCGATTTTTTTTTTTTGAAACAGACTTTTTCTCTGTCACTCAGGCTGGAGTGCAGTGATGTGATCTCAGCTCACTACAACTTTTACCTAATGGGGTCAAATAATCCTTGTGCCTCAGCCTCCCGAGTAGCCAGGATTACAGGTGCATGCCGCCATGCCTGACTAATTTTTGTATTTTTAGTAAAGATGGGGTTTCACTACGTTGGCTAGGCTGGTCTTGATGGTCTTGAACTTCTGACCTCAAGTGATCTTCCCGCCTCAGCCTCCCGAAGTGCTGGGATTACAGGCATGAGCCACCGTGCCTGGATGAAATTCATTTTTTTAATGGTAGGCAGAAAGATCAGGAATGAAAATGGAGGCTAGCATAGCACTGTTTTAATCTAGGGGCTGAGCTGGGATTTCTCTCTACTGCTGTACCACTTGTGAAAGGAAGCTAAAAAAAGTCTACCTTCAACTGTTATCTGGGGCTCTAATTTATAGGAAGATGCGGGTCTAAGGGATAGAAATACACAGTTTTAAAAATTTACAGAGTTGGTTACTGGTTTACAATATGAAGAAAGAATTGAAGCAGTGAATTAGGATATAATACCTCATTGAATTGGGGTCCCTAAGACATAAATTTGAGGCAACCCAAAATTGCTAGAAAGAAAAGGATGAACACAGAGGAATTAAAGATAAAAGAAGGGAACAAAAAAGACACTCTAAATCAAAATTTCTGAACACATGAGATCTGATGTAGGAAAACCAGCTAACCAATTCCTTTTGAAATTTCAATCGACTCAAGATGAAAATAATGGAATAACCTAAAACTTTAAGATAAGTTTGCTTAGGATTCTGAAAGGTAAGTTAATAAAACAGAAATGATGAAATCCAAATAAGCAGACATTAATCCATACAATATTTACCATCTTCTATGTTCAGGCACTCTTCTAGATGCCAGAACTATAGCAGTAAATAGACAAAAATCATACTCATGAAGTTTTTATTCTAATGATACGGACAGTAAAAGTGTACGTGTAGTTAAGAAATAAAGGGAATGGGGGCCGGGAGCGGTGGCTCACGCCTGTAATCCCAGCACTTTGGGAGGCCGAGGCCGGTGGATCACGAGGTCAAGAGATAGTAGACCATCCTGGTCAACATGGTGAAACCCCATCTCTACTAAAAACACAAAAAATTAGCTTGGCATGGTGGCATGTGCTTGTAATCCCAGCTACTCAGGAGGCTGAGGCAGGAGAATTGCCTGAACCCAGGAGGTGGAGGTTGGGGTGAGCCGAGATCGCGCCATTGCACTCCAGCCTGGGTAACAAGAGCGAAACTCTGCCTAAAAAAAAAAAAGGGAATGGGAATAAGAAGTGCTGGGCTGATGGGACAGGAGGTACAAAGAAGTTTATAATTTTTAATAGCTCACTGAAAAAACATTTAAGTAATGTCAAACAGAGTAAGAGAGAAGTCATGGAGGTAACTGGGGAAGAGAATTCCAAACAAAGGTAACAGTAGGTACAATGATCCTGTGGCAGGAGCATGCTTAGCATATTTCAAATATTCCAGCCAGTGTGGCTGGACTAGAGTGAACAAGAGGAGGAATACAATGAGATGGAATCAGAAAATTAACAGGAAACCAAGTCATGTATAACTTTGTAGGTGATTGTAAGGTTCTTGGCTTGTATTCTGATCCCATCTCCTTGAGAAAATAACTAGCTAGGAAGCTATCTAGAAATCTAGTTGAGCGGTGATGTGACTTGAACCACTTTCTGTTAGGAAAGAAGACCTAGTTGGGAAGCGATGTAGAAATCCAGATTAGAGAGGATGAGATTTGAAAACTTTATAGCAGTAAGGGGAGTGAAAAGTGGATCTTGTTTTGTCCTGATTCGAACAACTGTAAAAACATAACTGGGGAAATCGGACTGTGAACTGTAGTTATATGACATTGGGAATTATTTTAGTTTTGCTTTATGTGTTAATGATGTGTTTATGCAAGAAACTGCCTACCATTTTAGTAGATACACACTGCATCTATTTATAATTATGCATTTTCTTTAAAATATTGTTGGAAAAGAAAACAAGAATAGAAAAAATCCTTAAGGATGTTTAAGATTTAAACATTTTCAAAAATGATCTAATGATCATATATAGCATGTTCAAATGTAGCTAAAACATGCTAGTTCCTTGTCTCAAGAAGTATGTAGAAATACTGAATAATTCCAGATTTTGTTAGAAAAAAATTTAGTGATTTATATAGTTAAAAAGTCACAATTTAAAAAAATATTTGTCACAACTGTGCTATTTAAGTCACAACTAAAAGAATATACATACAATACAGTTTCTAAACCAGCAGAGGAAAAAACAGAATCAAGCTTTGCCCTATACACTTTCTTTTTCATCTCCTTTTCAGAAAAGAAGACAGAAAAGGAGATGAAAAAGAAAGTAATGAGGACAATAAACAAAAAACACACAAAACCAAATCTATCCAGTGGTTTCAATAAATGGAAATTGATTAAATTCACCTGATAATGTCAGATCAAGCATTCAATAATATTCATTCAGTGAAAATGTTAAATTGATCACAATATTAAGTAAAAAATTATAAAAACTAGGGTATATGCAGAATTATCACAATTAAAAAATATGTATTTATATACATCTATGTAGAAATAAAAGTCTGGAGTGGTTGTCTGCCAAAATGTTAACTGTGGTTATCCTTGGGTAATGGAAATATGGATAATTATTTCCCTTGTATTATCAACAATAAATTATAAAGGAAAAAAATTATTTTCCTTTTCTTTCACCAGAAAACATATTTTTTTTAAAGTAAAGGGCCAGGAAAAGGTATACCAGAAAAATACTAATCAAAGAGATATAACAATGTTAATATCAGAAAAAATAGATTTTAAGGCAAAAGCAATTAATAAGGATAATTTTTTTATGATGTAATGTAGTTTAGTTTTTAAACTGAATTTCAGTAAAGCCTGTATTTTGCAGAAATAATATGATAAAAGGGAATTTTATAATTATTTTGTTTTATGTTATTTTTATAAATATTTTTAAATTTTGTTATATATTTAGTAGTGTTCTTTTTTTTTTTTTTTAATTTTTTATTGGATTATAGGTTTTGGGGTACATGAGCAGAGCATGCAAGACAGTTGCGTAGGTACACACATGGCAGTGTGCTTTGCTTTTCTTCTCCCCTTCACCCACACTTGGCATTTCTCCCCAGGCTATCCCTCCCCACCTCCCCCTCCCACTGGCCCTCCCCTTTTCCCCCCAATAGACCCCAGTGTTTAGTACTCCCCTTTCTGTGTCCATGTGTTCTCATTTTTCATCACCCACCTATGAGTGAGAATATGCGGTGTTTCATTTTCTGTTCTTGTGTCAGTTTGCTGAGGATGACGTTTTCCAGATTCATCCATGT